GTTTTTGTTTGAAACGCTATCCTTTTTCTCAACTTGATTTTTCGAGGGGTTTCTAAACTGTCTGGCAAATCGGTCAACTTTTCGGCGAATCTGCAGTCATCCTCGCTCAAATTACTATAATCCAATTTCTTTTTAACTGGTAGAGTCTGGTTGAGGTGGCGGTTGGAGTATGTTTTAACAGGAGTTAAAACTCTCAATTTGTCAACATTTTCCTCCTCCTGGTAATTTTTCGGGACAAGCGTCCTTTTTTAAATAAAATTGTTTTTTGCCTCTGTACCTACTGGTTGGGAGTGAAATGCCTTTCACATGTACTTCTGCTTGATGATGTCTGCAGGTAAATCTGCTAATGTGGCATTTCCTGCAAATGTTTACTCTTTTAATATTTTAGGTTATAATATAAATCACATACCGGTTGTTTTTCAAACCTCGCCCACCCTTATAACTTTTTTATTTTTACAAATATACAAATGAAATTTGGTGTGTGTATTTATGACTGAAGGTCCATTATTTGACGTATTCAATTAATTATTATTATCACTTCCCGTTTGATTGGAAGTTACCCTAACTTTCTTATTGTAAATGAGGCTCCAGCTGTAGTTTACTTTATTTCAATAGAAAACTACTTTAACTTTGACATTAGGCATGAGTACAATGGGTACAATGACACCTTATTTGCCACTTTTTGACATTTTATCTCCAAACTATTTAAATTTTTACTTTTTAATCTAGAGCGCCATAAATTAGTTGAAATGCTTAATTTTGCTCCAAGAAACCTGAGAAAATTTGTTTTGATCTTATTTTGTGTTTGATATCCTCTACAGACTCATTCAGAAATAGTAGAAGCGCATTTTTGGATGTTTATCAATTTTTTCAAAAGGAAAGGGACTCATTAGCATATTCCGAACGAGAATTTTCTAACGAACAATTTAGTAGCACACAATCGCTAGTTTATTCAAGCATTAAACTAGAATTTTCCCAAAATATTTAAAAGTATAATAAGTAGGTACCAAAATGAACAAGTGAACTAGCGATTGTGTGGTTTTTATCTCTGTTTCATTGTAGTTGGGGTAATGTGTAATTTATACCGAAGGCAATAAAAGTACTAATTAGGCAATGCGTTTCGTACCGCACAACTTTTCTATAATTTATTCAACATGCTGCTGATCAAGATCTAACAAGAGACTTAAAAAAAAAAGGAAAATATAATAAAAATCTTCTTGGAGATGTAGGTAATTAATAATCCATTAGCACGATGGGGTACTCTAGGTAGTTCAGGAAATACCAGAAATAGGAACAAATTAGTGAAAATTAGCATAATCAATGCAATGATTCATTTTACCTGAGCGGTACAAATCGCTATGTACCCTGCAGTTGACACCTTCATTATAGATTCAAAACAGTGTTTGGGTGTGTCAACGCAAATTTTACCTTTCTTTTTCATTGTATACATAGTGATAAGCATAGTATTTTGGAAATTATGACCCAGGCCACCCCATAAGAAGTAAAATAACAATGAAGTCATAAAATGAAAATGAGTAATAAGGGTTGAACCCGGGCACCATTGTCGGAGTTGTTCAGTTAAGAAATCCCCATATAATAAAGGAATTATTATTGATGGATGATATATATTTTTTTTTTTGGGAATTTGCTTTTAAGAAGTAATAATAATTAAGTTTATCAATTGTTTTTATAATTAATGCATATCCTCGAAATTTACAATGGAATGGTAGTTAAATCCATTGCTACCAGTGTAAGTACCCGCTTTGTCATTTTTGACTGAAGTGTCAAATACAAAAGTATTGAGAAATTGTCAAAAGTTTTTAACTAAGGGCCAAATTTATAGTCGCTCCTTGAGGTTTCCTTGGACCTTAAGGAAGCCTTGAACGTTTAGAATTGACATGACTAACTTGTCAAATAGTACCAAGTGTCCATTCTGAACTCACGACCTTTAAGGCAGACTCAAGGAATGACTATAAATTCGGCCCTAAGTCACTTTCAATCATACAGGGTGCATCAAAAAAGTGTAGCAGAGCAAAGTTATATTTTTCTAAATGGAAGACTATGTATGTATATTGTGCGCTTCTTTATTAGCCCCCTTCAACCAGATTTCAACGATATATGGTTTGATATGTTTATCTGTCGATTTACCTTCAAAAGTGATAAAGATAAACGCGAAAATCCTTTCCTAAAGGTCTCATGTTATTTTTATTTTTCTCAATAACAATAATAACTTATGACATCTGGATTTATTATAATAACATTTAAACAATAAAGTGTTTATAAATATGTTATTCTCTGTAAAGCCTGAATGGTATAATTGTGCTTTCTTCAACATGTACTCCCTCTATACCTAACTATTAAAGATAGACATTTTATCAAACCGTATATCCTTGAAATCAGGTTGAAGGGGACCAACTAATAAGCGTAAAATATATATGTTGTTCCATTTAAAAGAATATTACTTCGCACAAACCATGTGTCTGTCAAAATTTCGGAGCAAATCGACGAAAAAGATGACAAAAACGAGCTCGGCCTTAGTTAAAAACTTTTGACAATTTCTCAAAACATTTGTAATCGTCAAAAGTTAGGAGGGAGTGACATTTATATTACATCACCCTGTACCTGCTGTGGCCGCGCCTATGGTTTACGATTTATATGGTCTTAATTCTTATAATCCTAACATGCTAATGAGCCACACCCTTTCCATTTGAAAAAATCGATAATAATTCAAAAATGCGCTTCTATTATTTTTAAATGGGTCTGTAGAGGATATAAACTACAAAATAAGATCAAAACAAATATTTTTAGGTTCCTTGGAGCAAAATTAAGCATTTTAACTAACTCATGGTGCTCTAGACTCAAAATTAAAATTTTAGATAATATGGAGATAAAATGTCAAAACTAAAAAATGAGTTGTCATTGAACCCGTGATGACCGAAATAAGGGAAAAAACCACTCATTTAAAATATGTGAGCTAGGGCCACTTCCGATCAAGACGGAAGTTATAATAAATAATTGAATACGTTAAATATTGCACATTCCGGTCATAAAATAAATACACACACCAAATTTCATTTGTTTATTTTCAAAAATAAAAGATTTATTGGAGTTAGCGGGTTTTAAGAACACCCGGTATACCGGGTGTTAAAAAAGTACGTTGAAAAACTTTAAGGAGTGATGCGCTGAATACTCCTAGTTTAAAGTTTTTTTAATGAAAATTGATTTAAATAGTTAATTTACAATAGAATTAAATATCGTTAAAAAATTAATCTTACCACAGTTTAACACCCACTTCTTGCAAAGATCTTCGTCTTTGTAAGGAAATCGGAACATCCGAACTCCCTTTTCGCGGCGTACATGGCAATTGAATAACTTACATCTATTGCCAGCCACCTTAGACTCCATATTACCACCAAATTGTGAAACAATTATCAAAAACTATTCGAAAGTAAATTATTCCGTTCAAGTATCACTACTGTTCGAATCGAAACTGAAACCAAACTTAAAATTTGTTTAGAGCTTGACCTAATCAAAAGTTGCGCATCGTCTCAGCTGCAGTGGGTTCGCAACGGCAAAATTTAAAGTTTGGCAACGTTGGAATATTTTAAGCGTTTAGCAGGGTTCGTTTCAGTAGGGTAGTAGCCGCGTAATTCGAATACATTATTATTTCGGCTTGTCGCGCCATCTATCCAATTTTAATAGACCTAGATTATGCCTGCATTCCCATCGGACTTCTAGAGACGGTAGGCTAGTATATTCTTTGATATCACATTTGTCGGACAAATACCATGTGGCTTGAGGGAAGGTTCGACGCCCTCAACATGTCGCTGTGGCGTCCCTGAGGAAGTTGATACATGTACGTGTGGTTTTGATGCCAATCGACTGTTTTCTATGTTACATTATTGATAGCACATAGGTCGGACAAAAATCACGTGGCTTTGGGGGGGTCCGATTCCCCCAACATGTTGCTGTGGCGTCCCTAAGGAAGTTGATACATGTATGTCCGACAAAAATAATTATGAATAACAATGTAATTTTAAAACATGTGTAGTAAATGTCGGACAAATAAAATGAGTATTGAAGTCAGTCGGACAACAAATATCCTTTTGATCAATTTCTGCCGAAATTCAGGATTTTCACTCCTGAGATTGCATAAAAAACACGACTGAATATCCATTATTTCTCACACGCGTGCTTTTGAATGACCGTTCACTAAATAATTTCCGTAAATACTCGGAGAACTATCAAAAAAACAGATCAGGGAATATGACACAGGGCCCCACAGGTATTTGACAAAATAGGTAAATAATAAACTTACTAATATGCACGTTGCGTTAAGGCAAACTAATTTTAATTTTTTCATTGATTGTCTCAAATTTCTTGTCCGACAAATGTGATATCGTTAATGTGATGTAAAAAACTGTCGATTGGTATTAAAAACACACGTACATGTATCAACTTCCTTAGGGACGCCACAGCGACATGTTGAGAGCGTCGGACCCCCCCCGAAGCCACGTGATTTTTGTCCGACATATATGATATCATTAATGTAATACAAAAAACAGTCGATTGGCATTAAAACTACACGTACATGTATCCACTTCCTTAGGGACGGCACAGCGACATGTTGGGGGTGTCGGACCTTTCCCAAAGCCACATGGTTTTTGTCCGACAAATGTGATATCGTTAATGTAATGTAAAAAACAGTCGATTGGCATTGAAACTACACGTACATGTATCAACTTCCTTAGGGACGTCAGAACGACAACTTCACGAAGAGCTAGCGCCGTAATGTCCCATCGCCCAGGGTGGAGACATGAAAAATATTGCCCCATTTGGTGTTATGAAGCCGCTCAGGAAGTTGGGCGTGTACATGAGTTACAAAATTTTAAGGTCGATGTACTGGGGACTATTATATCTTGTTAAGAATGAAAATTTGTATTTTTTCACATTTTTATAAATATTACAAAATAAATCCGTTAAAATTAATGAATTTTCAGCAAGATCAAAAGCTTTTCGAAACTGAAGAGATTCTCACTCAAAAAGTAATAGAAGGCTGGTAACATCAATCAATGCGAAAGCGTTAAATTTTCCTGAACTTTGATTGTTTTTTTTTAATAATTTATAAGTATGTATTCAGATTTTTTATTCTTTGAATAATTTGCAGTGGATATTTTAAATTTGTTTTTAAATTGAATCACAAAAAAACTACTAGAGACTAAATAA